AGGTAAGAACAGAAAGAAGTGGGTGGTTGGACCCTCTCTCGCCTGTCACACTTGTCCTCCACCGTACACTAGGTACCGAGCCGCTTCACGCGGGATGCGGCTGGTTGGAGAAGGGTCGAGTCCAGGTAGTACCTAGCTACCTTACCTTGAACAGCTGAGTAAGACGGGATATCGGCCGTTGAAGAACTGCACTGCAGTGAGTGACTAGTGACTCAATTGTGGCGATGGGTGACTGCCCAACATACCTTACCTTACCTATCCCGTGTGGCTTTGGCTTTGGGTCCAGTTGAGTTGGCCTTGGCTTGCGGGCAGCGGCTGCCGTGCCGTTGCCCGTCATGCAGTGAGAACTTATTTGACGAAATATCCGACGAACCGGATTGTATTCTGGGTTTCGGAACCGAGATCGATACCGAAGATGACCCGATGACCGAAGGGGCCGACAGCATGATGATGATGACGGAAAGCGAAAAGGTACTTCCCCTTCTCACTTCCTACGGTAAGGTAAGTACTTGGGGAGTTGTTGTTGTTTTGCAGTGAGGGTTGGGTTGGGTTTTTTGGGGGCTGAAGCGGGATGGGACAGCATCATATCATAAGTAACCTGGGATCGCCTTTATCCAACCAATTTAACCCCTTAACCTACCAACGACCAACCACCGTTGGCGTAACATCGTGTGCTATGCTATACTACCGGTATACCACATGTGTCGTAGCAGACCGGAGATGTTAAGGGCCGCTTTGCCGACTACAACTAAGACAGTGGCTAAGGCGCGATGCTGTGGTCTCCGGACATGCGACAACACTGGGGGTAGTTTTGATATGATGCGGCCCGCGGTCGGCGATGTGAGTCCGGACTTTCTTTCTTTTTTCATCGCGGCAGAAACGTTGGAAACGAGGAATGATTACCGCCTGTTTAGGGGGAGTATTCTCTCCTCTTCAAAAGCAAAAGATGGGGATTGTGAAAGCGAGAAAGAGGCAGGGAGTGAATAGGAAGGAGCAGACGCTCACAGCGTATCGGGAGCAGAAACTGTAAAGCGTCAGATAGAATATGAGGAAAGTAGGAACTAGCGATGATATTGCCAATCATACTTTCTCTGCCTTCACTTCAGCTTCGTCTATGGTGATGGCGACCGTCTTCCATACCGCCCGATTAGGTGGTGAACACTTCACAAGCAAGCGAGTTGCCGAAAGAGAACGGGAGAAAGGCAAGAAATAGAGAAAGGAAGGACACCACTGCATCGAAAACTGTAAAGCCGGATGGAAGTTCAGTAAAGAAGGAAGGAGCGACGAAAATCTCATTTAATCTAAGTAGACAGGTAGTTACTTGCCTTAAGTCAGGGTTGTCCCGATATCGCCGTTCTTCAAATCTGACCGGACTGCATCAATCGCAGTCAAGGTTAAGTTGTTATCTATGCGTCGCTTCCCACTTAAAATCCTGAATCCAAAATCCTTCAACGACGGCTTCAAAATGAAATGAAATAAATATACAAAGCAGAGGTTGATTGGAGTTGCCCCAAACTGAAAACAGAAGTCAAACAGGCCAGCTATGTAATGTCAAGATCCGATCAAGATCAATATTCCATCGGTCAAGGTGGGGGGAAGCCGGGTCACAATAGAGGTCTCGGGCAGGGAGCTGGGGCAGGAGCTACCTCTAGGCGAGCAGGTTGCTTCAACATCCCATGCCCATCCTCGCCCTCTCTCCTTATCGGCAAGATTTGAGTTTGTTCTTTCACGAAACTTGATCAACATTTCACTCCTCTCGCTGAGCAAGGCCAAGTGTTGTTTATCCGGATGATTTGGTTTGTTCGAGGACGATACGTGATGGTTCATATTCTCTGTTTCCCTGGTTCGTAGTTCCCGTCCGTTCAATTTCGTTTCGTTCTTGCACGGGTGGCTCCTCCTTGTCAGGTGATGAGAGATGTTTGTCATGGAACTTCCCGCAAGCGCCACTGTCAAGCTATGAAGCCATCAACTATGCGAACGCGTCATCCCTCATGGTCGGATGATGTTTCATTGCTATCCGCCTGCCATGTACGCCATGCCATGCTGGACGGACGGTTTCACAGACTTCTGTGTTGGAGAAAAGCGTACGATCTTCATCCGTTTATTCAGTTCATCCCTTGAAATGCATGGCATTGTATGGGCGAAATTCTCTCAACCAAACAGGCGAACATGCGGACATGGGGAGAGTGAAAAGTCCTATGAAGAAATTGAGTAACCCGCCTCTCTCTCTCTCTCTAGTCTCGCCTACAGTTTTCTCAGGACTTGTCTCATTCATTCACTTACTTTGGACTGGTAGAAGCCGGAGTGTTCTGGTAAACTTACGGATTTTGGTCTGTATGCTCGCCTAGATCTTATCCTTGCCATGTCCGAGACCTGCCTTTTCTCCTCTCTGGCACAGAGTGGAGTGTGAGGTTGCATCTTCGAAGATCCGCAAGAATGTGGTTGGAAGGGAGGGAGGGGCAGGAGATCAGACTGTTGTGATAGGGGTCACTGCAGCGGCATACGAAAGAACAACTATGCGCTCGTCGGGTATCCCAGCAACGATCGGACAACCGGTAACGGGCATAACGGTTGCAAACCCCAACGGCCAACGGGTACGTACGGGCACGAGGTTAATGAACAGAACGGCCGTTGAGTTATATTGATGTACGTACCTCTTCTCGATTCCGTTCTCCGTCCTTTCTTCTTCTGCGACCCTTAGCCTTGACCCGTCCATCCTACTCTCCGACCAGCGTTAAGAGATTGCGTACGCGTCGTCAATGTGGAGTATACGGAATCAACTGTCCGGACGAGTGAGTGCACAACTTTCGGGATGTCTGAGGAGGAGGGCAGGCGACACATATGATTGGAAAACCAAGAGAGGGCGTACGTAGGCATGTACGGAAAGGGATGATGATGGGCAGGCAAGAGTGGGTGTTGAGAGCATGAATCCGGCTCATCCTCATCGTTTCCAATATGTGGAAATGATGCCCTTCGTGACTTCTCTTTGGTTGCTGTCTCTCTTCCTTTCTCCCTCGTATAACTCTGACGACTTCTCTCAAGCACCCGAGTGCAACATAAATGTGCCGACATGTACCACTGCATTCGTCAGGCAAGAATGGCTCGTATGAAATGCTTCTTGCAAAAGATGGAAGAAGTATAAGGAGATGCCCCGCCCAATGCTCAGCACTGGCTTGTTAACCATGGGAAAGTTTGGAAAATCGCTCGCCGCCTCGTGTGGTGTGAGCTAAACGGCTTCATCAAACCGACCGATCAACAACAACGAGGCTTACGTGCTTGATTTGCAACAATAACTTTCTCGATGGTCCATCACGACTTCGATTGAAACCTGGTGAAGGATGAAGAGGGACCAATGACGTGAAAATGCCGGTATGTGAGGATGTCCAGCATCTGCGAACTATGTTTCCATATCCATCAGGGAACCGAAGAGGAGTTTGAGGTTCCATCAACAACCTTTACCGGGTAGTCATTCTGGATGGAATGAAAGTGGACGAAGACAAGGGATGAAGGAGGATAGATGGGGGACCTCGAACAAAGAAAGCAACCGAAGCTGGATCATCATCCTTGCGCCAACTTGCCATCCAGCTTGTCACATCCAGCCGATTCCGCTGGGAAACGACGCCGAGCAAAGCAACCCATTCATTACGAGTAACAGCCTGGAAACGATGACGGGTACCGTGAGGAGCAAACCAACTGGAAAAGAGCAAAGGAGACAAATTCATGAACAGAAGATGAAGGGGCCGACGCTGCAGCGATCGATAATCCTTCCGAGAAGGGTCCAAGCCCAAGCATAATATTGAGCACTTCTTGACCGTCGTTCTCGGGGGTTTTCAAGAAGAGAGGGTATGGAGAAACAACATCTACCTGGGTCAGCGAAGTTTTAAGGAGGAGTAAGGGATACATACACCCCAGGCCGACACAGTTTTGAACTAGAGTCATCAGCATGGACCTTGCACCGATCCGGACGGTCACGACGTCAACCTGCTTGGACTCGCCTGGCCGACAACCTAACGGAGATCATAGGGGCTTCAGGGAACCAGGAGGTCAACCACTTGCTTCTTGAGGTTTGGCAAGCGCGATTGGAAGTAACGGATATTGTGCAAGATGATCGGCTGTAACAAGAAGCGAGCTTGAAGAGAACGCAGCTTGTCCATCTCCTATATGCCCTCATTCACACTGAGCGAATCTCCATGGGCAACTCGCAAGGCCGAAGATCAACAGATGATTTGAGACGCCATTCACAGTTGACCTTGAATTTGTCATATGTCAACGGCTTCGGGTACTGGAAAGTTATCGCGGAGTGATCGTGGACTCGGTAATCGCAACAGGAGCGAGAGGGGAAAAAAAAAAAGGGTGGAGTCGATGACGGGGGTTAGGGTCATGGGCGTCAGTAAAAAAAGACAAAGAAAGAAGACGGCGAATGTTCATGGACACCATGGGTAGATGTGCAACAATTAACACCTGATGTTGACGGCCGCTTTGCTGTGGCCAGACACGTGGTGAGCTTTATAGCCGTATTTACCAATGTTGACAAGAAACCATTGATGTGGTAACACGGCTTGATTTCTATTCTCGTACGTTTCCGTAATCCCGATGGAAGCATGGAAGAATGGAAGCACAAGAAACGAGCAAAGCCGATGTGAAGCTGGCAAGACAATTCTGAGAAAAGATGGGACGGCCAGCCACTCCACTTCTCCAGTGTCGCATTCTGCCCAATAAGGAAGGCGGTGGGCTTTCATTACAGGGGATACTGAGTGCGGGACAGGGGATCGGCCTTCTGAATGATGACATGAGTTCAACTTCCATGCCAGCGGGCAACACAAGCAGTTGATTGCACGTGTCGACAGCAACAACACCCAAGATACCTTAGCTGTCGTCCCTTGCCCAATACCTACGACAGCTTCTTCCGAAGAAAAGAAACTACCACAACGGGTACATATCCACCTCATCTGCTACGATCGAACACACGCTCCAAAGTTCAGAAAACCGGTAACGGCAGCATGAGAGCTGAAATCGCCGTGCCCGCGATCGCGGCGCTCGTTTACAGAGCTCACTCCAAGAACTCGTTGACACCCGGTGGCATCTTTGCTGCTTTCCTCACGGCCGTCGCACACGCAGTCCACCCTTGGAATCTACCCTTTGCTCTGCTCGTTGTGTTCTTCCTCGCAGGAACGCGGGTAACGCATGTAAGTTCGAGCCACACCCTGAGGCGGCGCCCACGACGGTAAACAAAACGACTAACCACGACATCTTCTCTCCGCTTAGATCAAGGAAAATGTCAAGGCAAACCTCACGGTACACTCCAAGGGCACTTCCGGCGGCGAAGGCCCTCGAAACCACATCCAAGTGTTCGCCAACTCGCTCACGGCTTCCATCTTCTCTCTGCTCCATGCCTACCAGCTGCACGCGCGCAAGCAGGCGCTGATCGCCAATCCCACCAGCACTGGAACTGGCAGCCTTTGCTTCTCCTGGGGCGGTGATTTGCTGGTGATCGGTATCATCGCCAACTATGCCTGCGTCGCGGCCGACACCTTCAGCTCCGAGCTGGGCATCCTGTCCAAGGGCGAGCCGCGTCTGATCACAAGCTGGAACCTGCGCAAGGTACCGCGCGGTACCAACGGCGGCGTCTCCCTCATCGGTCTCGGCGCTGGTTTGCTAGGCAGCATGATCATCGTCACCGCGTCGATGCTTCTTCTGCCTCTCTGTACTGATGAGACGGCTATGAGAATAGGCGGTGCCGCGGGCTGGTCACTGGGACAGCGTCGTATGCTGATTCTCGGCCTCACACTTTGGGGTTTCTTGGGCAGCGTTGTGGACAGCATCCTGGGAGGGCTTTTCCAGGCTAGTGTCAAGGATGTGCGGACGGGCAAGATTGTCGAGGGTGAGGGTGGCGTCAGGGTGCTGGTGTCCAATGCCACGAACCCTAACACCGTTGCTGGTCGTACCAAGGCCGAGATCAAGTCATCTCTCCTTTCCGGCGAGGGGACAGATGCGGTCGAGGACGTTGGCGCCGCAGGAAAGGCCAGCGGTCAGGCCACGGCTTCCGGGAACAGATATGACCCGCTTAACAAGCAGAGGAGGTCGAGCTTTGGAGATGAGAGACGGTCGAGAGTGGTGGAGAACGGCTGGGACCTGCTTGATAACAACGATGTCAACTTCTTGATGGCCTTTGGGATGAGCGTGGGAGCGATGGCTGTCGCATCGTGGTATTGGGGTGTTCCCCTGCAGTCTGTGCTGCTGCCATGGTGGACGTAAGGTAGTCGGGGATGGGGTGTTGGGTGACTTTTCCAAGGAAATATTGGATGGTAAACAATGACATATGACGGTTGTCATTTTGATCGCAACATACAGACCCTGACTTGTGCTTAATGAACCTTCATGTTGGGCGGGTACTATTCGGGCGATACTACGTAACGAAAAGCCGGCGCGGTTGCCCATTGAGGTTCTCATTGCACCGAACATCCATGGCCCAAAACCATCGATCCGTAAATGGGATCGCAAGATAGGTAGTCCGGTTTCCGTTGCACCCTTTGTAGTTTGTACCCAATAACATGGCACAAATTCTTTATAACTCTTACTTGATGGTGTGTGGTAAACACGTTGTGTAGACAAGGTTTTTATCGGCCTTGTAACGCCTCATGGTCTTGTGACGGAGCCCGGTGACCTCCCGGGCACAAGCGGTAACGACTAACCCGACAATTGGCTCGGAGTCCCTGAAGCTCTAGCGACGGGCCCCCTGTAGCTGGTGATGGAACTTACCGTCCGGCTCGGCAGCCCCGTTGTAGGCCGCTCTCGGTCTCCGGAGCGCTCTGACCCCGCGGTGCTGCCGCCGTATGTCGTCCCTGCGTCCTTCCATTTCCTCCACTAATTCCCCCATTTTCCACCCCAGATCCCCGCCGACCCCTTGTACTCCGTTTTCCTTTTCCATCTCTATCTCCTGTTGCCCCGCTGTTCGCTTCCGTCCACCTAGGTGCCAAAACAGCTCCAATACTTGCTTGCCCGCTGCCGTCCACCGCGATTGCTGATTCTTCTCGGCCGACAACCGGACACTGACCCAATGCGCATCTGATATATGATGTTCTCCTGAACAAGCAAGGCGGTACCATACATCGACCGTTAACGATACTACCTTCCACGACCCGAACTTTGCACGGCAGCCTAGGCACCGCGGCGCCTTGACGTAGCTTCGCGACCTCCCTGAGTCTGTTCGCTTCCACTCCCCAGGATTCAATCGAGGGGACCTCCGCGGCTTGGACCTCCGTTCCTCCATCCCCCATTGTCTTCTCCACCAACCGCTTCGACGACATCTCGTCAGACAAACGGACGACACTCGATCCGCGATCCAGTGCCGTTGCGTTCAGCTGCCAGCGACTCCGCCCGCCATGGCACAGGCCTACGACGACGAGGAACTTTCCATCTCCTTGTCGCCTTCTCAGATTCGAAGTCGCAACAAGCGATCCGGCGATGGCGCATCAGGTTTCGGCCCCAGCACCGGCAATATCCATGAATACGGTCAACACGGCCAGCAATTACATCCTAATATCAACGCCGTCATGGCCGACACACCCCTCCGCGACAAGATGCGCACCGAGCAGCGCATCGGTGCCTACAACATTGTCAAGACGCTCGGCGAAGGCAGCTTCGGCAAGGTCAAGCTGGCTGTCCATCGCAGTACCGGCCAGCAGGTCGCCCTCAAGATCATTGCCCGCAAGAAGCTCATCAGCCGCGACATGCAAGGCCGCGTAGAGCGCGAGATTGAGTACCTTCAGTTGCTCAGGCATCCCCATATCATCAAACTGTAAGCCGTCCCCCGACGCCCATGCGCGCAGACGTTGGCTTGTCAACTTCCATAAGCATTGGCTAACCCGGCGCGCATACCAGGTACACGGTTATCAAGACACCAACAGAGATCATCATGGTGCTAGAATACGCCGGCGGCGAATTGTTCGATTACATTGTTCAACATGGAAAGATGAAGGAGGACGAAGCCCGCCGTTTTTTTCAGCAGATGCTATGCGCCGTCGAATACTGCCATCGTCACAAGATCGTCCATCGCGACCTAAAGCCAGAGAACCTCTTGCTGGACGAGAATCTCAATGTCAAAATCGCCGATTTCGGCCTTAGCAATATCATGACGGACGGTAACTTCCTCAAGACCAGCTGCGGCTCTCCCAACTATGCGGCTCCCGAGGTTATTGGCGGCAAGCTCTATGCAGGACCCGAAGTCGATGTCTGGAGTTGTGGTGTCATTCTTTACGTCCTCCTCGTTGGACGCCTCCCTTTCGACGACGAGCATATTCCCAGTCTCTTCGCCAAGATCGCGCGTGGAAGCTATATGGTCCCGACCTGGATGAGTCCCGGCGCGGCGTCATTAATCAAAAAGATGTTGGTCGTTAATCCCGTTCAACGTGCCACCATTGATGAAATTCGCCAGGACCCATGGTTCCTCGTGGATCTGCCGGCTTACCTTCACCCTCCTGTTGAGGAGTTCCTCAACACTGGCGTAGACCCGAACAAGGCCATCAAAGTCAGCGACATTGCGCCAAATGCGCCTCCGCAAGAACAGGAGAAGCTGCATAACGAGGTCACGGAGAAGATCAGTAAAACCATGGGCTACGGCAAGAGAGATGTCGAAGAGGCCTTGGAAGCCGACGAACCCTCGGCCATCAAAGATGCCTACATGATCGTGCGTGAGAACAAGCTGATGCAGAGTAACCGTGAGTCTACGCTCCCTCCCAGCAAGTCCTTTGTCTTCTCGTCTTTGGAACATATCGATCCTTTGCCATCCGTTACTCGTCCGTCTTGTCCTTCTTTGGCGGTTGATTTTGCTACGTCCCATTCTCTTTTGGCGTCAGTTTTACACTTGCCTAGTGGTGAACATCGCCTGACACAATGAAGCAATTCCTTGAGTCTGCGACCATCGTCCTTTTTGGAGCAACACTACATCTGGAATTCCGGGACACTCTACTAAAAACCGATAAAGAAATCCCAGGCCTCACGACAGAAGAGTCTGTCCCGAGTCCGCTCCTCGACCCGAACATGTCATCAGCTCGGTCTATCGCATCCGTCAGCACAGGAACTTCACCGCGGCCATATGTCAGCAAGATCGGTATTTTGCCTAGCAGTCTTCCTACCTATCACAAGGTCTTTATGGAGCGTGAAAAGGCCAAGGCCGAAGGCCTTGAGCCGCCTGATGCTATCCCCACCATTGTTGAGCCTGCGAACCAGCCACGCAGCCAAGCTGAACAAGAAGAGACAATCCGAAGACTCAAGCCACATTCAAAGAGCCAGCTTCGTCTTGACGAGGCCAACAAGCGCCCACAAGGACTCACGCCCGTCAACCCGCCCAAGAAGAACAAGCCTGCTCGATGGCAGTTTGGTATTCGATCCAGGAACGCTCCTTGGGAAGCGCTGGTGTGTATTTACAAGTCGCTAAACAAGCTTGGTGCCGGATGGATAGTCGATGAGGACTACGAAAGAGCCCTCCGAGAGGACGAGGACACTGACGACTATGATGGACCCACCATCGGGCGCAAGATATCATCATCCAACATGGATCCCACCAAGATCTACAGGCTTCCTGCGGACCCGTGGCACATAAAGATCCGCTGGACAACCGATAGTGAGTTTGCCGTCCGGCCATCATACATGATAAAGCTTGACTAACACGTTTGTCAGAAATGAAGAAGCATTCGGTTGCCTCGGGGCTCGGCGAAGCAGGAGAGACCATGCATGTTACGCGGGATGGCAATGACAAGTACCAGGTTGTGGCCATGCGTATGGAGATTCAGATCTACGAAATGGAGCACGGTGTCTACCTTGTCGACTTCAAGGTCGACGGCTACGAGACCCCTGACGGAAAGCTTCTAGAAGATAAGGAAGTCACGAGCCCCCTTCCCCTTCCTTGACATGGCTGCCAAGCTTATCATGCAATTGGCAGACGCAGATTGAGAAAGTGGAGAAGCCTCGACAATTGATTAATGGCTTACGGCTGTACATTCGTGCCCGTGTCTTTGTTTACTGATTCCGAGCCTTCGGTTCTTGCTAATGAGTTGCTGAGGCCTTTGTACCCTTTGCACATATTTACCGCAGTTGATACTGTTGGCCACACTCACTGAACATGGCCAATGCTCCTTGACTTGTTGAACGGGAGGAGGCAATCACTGGATGGTTGAGCGGTCCATTTATACATGGAATCAACTTACCGCTCACGACGCGCCAACACCTGAGTATGGGATCTGGCTGTCTACATACCCTTTTTTACCATGTCTCATAAATTGCGGTACCAGATTTTTGCGGGGCTGGAACTCTTCCCCTCGTTGAAGGAAGATAGAGCGTCACACATGTTTTCGGCTCGGTTGGCTTTTTTGATGCGCTTGGAAGCTTAGAGTCTTTCCTTTTTATCTAGAGACATATCGGACGGCCCGTAAATGCGGTGAGCGATTTCGGTAGGCTGAATCAGCTATGGTGGCTAAACGTCATATGGGATACCCATTAGGAGGAGATAGAATTGAAACAGGTGATGGAAAAGTTGCTACCTGTTGTCATCTCGAAGAAAACTACTAGATATTAGGAAAAGAACACGGCAGCGTTACTCTTCTACACGCACTCCGAGTAACACATGACGCAAAGCTCGTGATACTGCCTATCCATGGTTCTGTTGAAATGGGTTGGCCCCCAACCTTTTCGCCATTGATGACCCCCGTGTTATCTCAAGCCATAGTTTCTGTGGTTGTTCATCCCACTTTACCGTTGACGAGGCGCCATCACAGGGTTTACACTCCCATATTGACTCCGATCGTGAAAGCGATTCTAGGGTAATCCCCCACCCAACGTTCGCCTTGTCTCCTAGATCTCAAATCCGGCGTTTTTTTCGTGACCGCTTTCCCCTGTGCTGTGACTTCTCCAGGAACCGAACACGAACATATTTCATCCAACATCCACGCTTCCTATTGAAAGCCATGAACACTTGTTGATGCTGAGTCCTTTTCTTTGATCCACAGTCCTTTTCTTTGATCCATTCATAAATATTTGCGTGTTCTTTTACTAAGGTACTCTTTCGTTGACCGGTAGCACCAAGCAATACCATAATTCCGTGAACGTCGTCAAGCACCTTCACCGCTCCTGAGTGAGCGAAGCGATATGATGGACCTTCCTTGTTTTGTTTCATCTTGCGACTAAGGTCGAGAGAGCACTGTCAAAAACGCCGCCAAATCCCGAGACAGGGTCAACGGGTCTAACCGTCGATTCACATAGGTACATATCTGTTCTGCGAATGGTTGGTTGGTAGTCGAGTTGATATAACCCTGAATGGAAGCCTGAATGGGATATATCCCGATTCTACCGATTCTACCGCCACCAATAAGAATACAAGATATTCAATAACCGTTTGATTTGTCATATTTGACAGGTACCTAGTCACAGACAGTCTTGCGCTTTCAAAGAGTTTGTTTGTACGTATTTGGCCATAAGTAGCGAAGTCTATCTGGACGTGTTCACGGCAACCTGGAAGGGTTGAAGGATGGGATGCATTGGCAACATGCGCGTTACGGCTGACATTGGCATAAGGTAACTACTGCATTGTTCCTGCTTTTAGAGAGCTGGTTGTAATGGGAAGACGAGACTGAACTGGTATTGAGACTGTATCGCAAGGTGGGTCAAGTCCGAGCCTCTCTTGCGATTTTACCGGTACTGCCTTCATCGTGTTCAGGGGTTTAGATGGCTTGATGAATATTGGACAAGGTCGGTTTGGTTGTGTTCCAGATTCGGGCTTCGAAAATCAGGAAACAAAGGAGAAGAGAGCCACATCACGCTCGGCCCCCCACGCTGCGTCAAGATATGATGATGATGGTTGATGGTTGAAGTTTCCTTCCATTCAAGACTCCCCTTTGAGCCCCCCCTCCCCCCACCTTCCGCGCAACACGCGCTCCAATCTTCATCCGGATCTGGGCAGGTACCACAACGATTTTGGTTCCTGCCAAAGAACGTAACGGAGGTCCCTCCATGTTCGGGAGCGGAAGGTGATACCAAGGTGTTGGTCTTGCCGATCGTCTTTGGTGGCATCGGCAGGTGCAATGGTTGACAGGAGAAGGACAAAGGAGTCTCGGCACTCCAACCAAAGGGGGGAAGATGGATAGGGAAGGAAGGAAGGAAGGTTCGGCTGTTGAAGAATTGCCCATCTTTCTTCGTTTACCCACTTGCCGAATGAACCTGCTTCGAAATCGCGGGGTAACAAAGAAATAAGCACGAAAGCTCATCATTCAGCTCTCCAGATTATCTGTGCCGTCCTAGGTTAGGAACGGTAGCCATTCCCGTCGATCCCCTATCATGACATCCCAAAGCACCGTAGTATCGTGGTACTAGAACTAGTGTACCAGACTTTGGAGGATCGGTGCAATGTTCCGACCAGCAGCATATGCCATGTAACCTGCGATGTAGTGTACAGTCATACCGGAACGCGTAAAGGACATCATGCGTGCTGATCAGGAACGTGAGGAGTGAAGGGGAAAAGAGCCAAGTCATAACCTTGAAAAGATGTTGGTTCTCCTCCCTGTTAGGAACAGTATGTTCCTTGTTCATGTCCTTGCTTTTAAGCTTCTACCCCGGATTTTACCCCAGGTTTTGCCAGGATACCTAGCTCTACACTACCGTTCTGGGGCTGGGGATGCAACGATCTCCAAGCTCGGTTAGGTACTAGGGTCCCAGTACCTCACCTACCTGACTTACACTTGGACAGACCAAGCAAGACGAACGAGTATATTAACCAGTCCTTCTGCCGCTTTGTTCAAAGAGATACCACCTCTCTCCGTCCGTTCCCGCAAAACGTCACGGTTCAGGAACCACCACATCCTGTTCAACCCAACATGGCAGAACCAACAGCGCATCCCAAGACCACCGCGAGGTCTTCGCCACCATCACTCGGCGATAGTGTCAAGGTTGTGGACGTGGAGAATGTTGAACATGCCAAAACTTCTGCGTCTCGTGATAACCCTGACCATCACCATGGCCAGAGAGCCGCCCTTCAACCACCGCCTTGGATCGCGGCCCTGAGCCCAGAAGAGCGTCGGAACCTCGAGAAGAAGTTGAAGAGGAAGATTGACTTAAGGTTGATGCCGGCTATTATTATCATGTACATCTTGAACTACATTGATCGGTACGTCAACTCCTCTTCACTAGACGTATGCCACCTTGGGGAATGGGTAAACGGAGATATTCTGCGAGACAAGCATCTGGAAACATGACGGGGAAAACGTCGAAGGGGGAAAACAAATCACTAATACTTGCACCACAAAACAGAAACAACATCGCCGCCGCTAAACTCGCCAACCTCGAGCGCGACCTCAACCTCTCCTCAGTCGAGTACCAAACCTCCGTCAGCATCCTCTTCGTCGGCTACCTCCTAATGCAAATCCCTTCCAACCTGTTCCTTAACAAGCTCGGAAAACCTGCCATTTATCTTCCCTGTTGCGTAATTAACATCTCCCCCTTTTTCCCAACCGCCATTTAATACCCTCCTATCTCTTCACAATTTGTCCACTCACTAATGCACACCCTTTGACAGATGATAATCTGGGGCACCATCTCCGCCGCCACCGCCGCCTGCACCTCCGCCGCCGGCCTCTACGCCGTCCGTTTCTTCCTCGGCTTCGTCGAAGCCGCCTACTTCCCCGGTTGCCTGTACTACCTGTCCTGCTGGTACACCCGCTCGGAACTCGGCCTGCGCACCGCCATCTTATACTCTGGCGCCTTAATCTCGGGAGCCTTCTCCGGTCTCATCTCTGCCGGCGTGGTGGGCGGGCTAGATGGCGCAAGGGGGTATAGTGCCTGGCAATGGCTGTTCATCATCGAAGGAGCGGCGACGATCGTCATTGCTTTTGCGTGTTTCTTTGTCCTGCCGAATTTCCCGCGGACGACGACTTGGTTGACGGAGGAGGAGAGGACACTGGCGGTTTGGAGGCTCGAAGAGGATGTGGGTGTTGATGACTGGGTGGGGAGGAAGGAGCAGACTTTCTGGCAGGGCGCGAAGATGGCGTTTACGGATTTTAGGACCTATGTTCTGGTGAGTGTTCCGTCCCCCTCCATATCTCTCCCTGTTTGTGTTGTGCTGGAGGACGACAGGTGGTTGGTCATTCAGGTTCACACTGACTGACTGACTGACTGACTGACATGACATGACGATAGATGGTCCTCCTCTTCTGCATCGTCGCCTCCGGCACCGTCACCAATTTCTTCCCCACCGTCGTCAACACCCTCGGCTACAACCGGATCCATTCCCTCCTTCTCACCGCCCCGCCCTACGTCCTGGCTGTCATTGTCACCTTCGCCAATGCCTGGCACGCCGACAAGACGGGCGAGCGATACTTCCACATCGCGATCCCCATGTGCGTCGCCATCGTGGCGTACATCATTGCCGCAGCAACCACCCACATCGCTCCCCGCTACCTGGCCATGATGCTCATGGTGCCCTCGGTCTACTCGGGCTTCGTGGTGGCTTTGGCGTGGATCTCGAATACCATGCCCCGACCGCCGGCGAAGAGAGCGGCGGCGCTGGCGTTTATCAATGCCGTCAGTAATTGTAGCAGTATCTACGCGAGCTATCTGTATCCGAACAGCGCGGCGCCGCATTACACAGTGGCTATGGTGGTGAATTGCGTGACGGCGTTTATTGCTGTGTGTGCGGCGACGGTGATGAGGATGATTTTGAGCAGGCAGAATAAGAAGTTGGCGAGGGGGGAGTGGGTGGATGGGGCTATTAATGTCGAGGGGTTCAGGTTTAAGCTTTGAGGCGGGGAGGAGGAGGAGGAGTTCTTACCTGGCTGGAGGTTTGTTTGATGGCGTTCTAGGCTTTTGGTTTGTGATGTACCCGGAAGAGGGCGGGATGTTGCAGATTATGTTCATATTTCGTTTGGTATACCGAGGAAGGAAAAGTAAACTCCCGCTAAGCGCTTACCAACAGCTTCTTTCTTTACTTCATCAGTAATATCCTTACAGGTATCTAGCGATTGAATCAAGCCTGCAACGCCAAGTCCAACCTCGCCCCATGACTTCCCTTCTTCCACGTGCCCATCGGATCCTGAATCTCATCCACCTCCCTCTCCTCACCACTCTTTCCCCATCCGCCACCACCGGGCGTGCAGATAATGATCCTATCGCCGGCCTTCATCGGTGCACTGTTCTTCGCGCCCATATTGATGACTCTCTCTTCAGACTCCGCCTCATCCACCTCCTCCTGATCCTGCTCCCCATTCTGGATCTTGCGCAGCGTATCCTCCCACCTCGCCTTCTTCACCTTCCTCACCCACAGATTCAGTCCACACGCTGCATCTTCGCCGCCCGCCAAGCCATAGGGTCTGTACACCCTCCTCTCAGAAAGAATGCTGACCTGCAGTGGGAGACGGAACTCAATGTCCCTCACCACGCCGTTGCCGCCACGATGCTTTCCTTTGCCGCCCGATCCCTTGCGAATTGAAAACTCACGCAGCAAAACCGGGTAACGACGCTCAAAGATTTCTGAATCGGTGATGCGTGTGTTGGTCATGTGCACATGCACACCGTCCGTTCCCTCCCATGTGGGGCCAGCGCCCGAGCCACCAGCTATGGTCTCGTAATATCCAAAGCCCTTGACTTCCTTCTCGCCGGCCACGTTGCCGCCAAACCCAAAAGTCAGGTTATTGCAGCATCCCTGCGAGGCGGCGCACGCCTGGAACGCCTTGAAGATGACGTCCGTGATGCGCTGTGAGGTCAACACGTTGCCGCCCACGACGGCGGCGTTGTCGGAGGGAGAGAGCAGAGACTTGGGCGGGATCTTGACGGTCACAGGTACCAAGCAGCCCTGGTTCAGGGGGATGTCCTCGGAGATCATGCAGCGGAGGGTATAGATGATGGCGCTGTAGGAGATGGCTTCGGGCGCGTTGATGTTGGCGTACACTTCCGGGCCGGTGCCGGCGAAGTCGAAGACAGCTTCGCCTGCGTCCGGGTCGATGGTTACCTTGAGCTGGATCGGTGAGCCGTCGTCCATGTAGTCGATTGCAGAAAGCTCCTGGCCCTCGAAGCGCTTGTGGACAGTGCGCAGCAGGTTGCGGACTTGTTGCTCGGCGTTGTTCTGGATGGCGACCATATAGAATTGTACCGTGTCTTCGCCGTATTCGCCGATCAGCGTCTCGATGAGGGAGATGCCCTTTTGGTTGGCGGACACTTGAGCGCGCAGGTCGTTGATGTTGTCGGCCAGGCAGCGGGTGCCGCTGCAGCCGGGGTACTTGGCGGGTTCCTTGTGGAAGAGCTCGATTACTCGGTCTTCGTTGAACTTGCCCTCCGAGACGAGCTTTTCGCTCTTGACGGCGGCTCCTTCTTGGTAGAGCTCGCGGGAATGGGGAGGCATACTACCAGCGGTGATACCACCGATGTCGGCATGATGAGCACGGGAGGCGGCGTAGAAGAGAATCTTGTCGCCTGCTTCGTTGAAGGCGGGCATGATCAGGGTGACGTCGGGAAGGTGAGTTCCGCCGTACGAAGGGTGGTTGGTCATGAGAACATCGCCCTTGCGCAGCTTACCCTTCCAGATTTCTGCTTGACGGCGAACGCAGGTGGACATGGAGCCTAGAAATCGTTAGCTGAAGAGCACTAATAGAAAAAAAAAGTAAAACTCACCCAAGTGGACAGGCAGATGGGGAGCATTGGCAACCAAACCACCGTTGGCATCAAAGATGGCGCATGAAAAGTCAAGACGCTCCTTGACGTTAGTACTGACACTGGTCTTCTGAAGCGCCATACCCATCTGCTCAGCAATAGCCATGAACCTATGGGCAAAGATACTAAGCATGATAGGATCGACCTCGCGCTCGCCCTCACCCTTATCGTCCTTGTTCCTGTCCGTCTCCTCGATATCAACCACCACATGAGTCTCCAGCACCAGCGCAGTGCTCTTGGGCGTGACCACAATAGTCTGCGTTCCATCAGCCAACATAGCCGGGCCCTTGATCACAGTGCCCACACTCAGATCACTGAGCTTGTAGATGGGCGTGTCATAGCGTCCACCCTCAAAGTACACCTTGGCTTCGCTGTGTTTGTTCTGGACATCCGCATCCTTCTTCTGCACCGTCTTGAGCTGATCATCGACGCTCTTCTCCTCGTAACGGAAGCTCTTGCCAATGCCTCTGACACGGACATCATCGACCACAATGTCGCGCTCGTCCAGGGTGAATCCGAACTCGTATCTGTGGTGGCGCACAAACGCGCTGGCAAAGTCCCAGTCGTTGCCGTTGTAGTACTTCTCGGCGTCGTCAGCAGTGGGCTTGATGATCATCAGTGCCGACTCGGTTCCGCGGTACCGCATGTTGAAATACTCCTCAAACACGATCTGGTCGTCTTCGAAGCCTTGGTTGCGCAGAACCTGGCGGGACTTCTCCTTGAGAGCCTCCATCTTGTCCTTGAGGCCCTGGATGACAGACTGGTCGTCGGCCTTCCAGACGGAAGAGTCAGGTTCTTGGCGTTCATCGACAACATCGGCCAAAGCCATGCCGTATGCCGACAAGACGGAGGAGTAACGGTGGATCAGGATCTGCTTGATACCCAAAGACTCAGCGATGGCAACAGCATGCTGACCACCTGCACCACCAAAGGTGGCAAGACGATGCTTGGAAGTATCGTGACCCTTGGCCTCAGTGATACTCCTGATCGGCCGAGTCATAGTCTCATTAGCCACAGTCAGGAACCCGTAGGCAACCTCGTCAAGATCCATCTCCTTGCCCGTCTCAGCCTTGATCTGGTCTGCCAGCTCCTGAATCTTGATCCTGCTAGCCTCCGGGTCCAGGCCCTCATCCTCGTTCTTGCCAAAAATCTTGGGGAAGAATTCAGGCAGAAGTCTGCCCAGGAACAAGTTCGCATCGGTAACAGTTGCCGGACCGCCCTTGCGATAGCACGCAGGACCGGGGTGGGCGCTAGCAGACTCAGGGCCGACAACAAACAGGCCGTTGCGGAAGAAGAGCATGGAACCGCCACCGGCAGCGACGGTGTTGATGTCGAGCTGCGGCGACTGGATGGTTACTCCCGCTGTGGTGGTCTCGAAGGTGTGATCGTACCGGCCCTCGCCGTAGCGGGACACGTCGGTGCTGGTGCCGCCCATGTCGAAGCCGATGACGGGGATCCTGGTGTTCTCGTCGTACGAGGTAATGGCGTAGCCGACCACGCCGCCTGCCGGGCCGGACAGGATGGCTTTGAGACCGGTAAACTTGTCAACATCCACCAAACCGCCGTCGGACTGCATGAACTCGCAGCGAGCACCCTTAGCTTCGCCCGCCTCCTTGACGCCCTTGGTGCCCAGACCGCCGGCGAAGCCCTTCTGGAATCCGGAGATGTACTTCTTAATGGCGGGCGTGAGATAGGCGTCCGCGCAGACTGAAGTGGCGCGCGAGACGAGCTTGATCATGGGCATGAGCTCGTGACTGAGGGAGATGTGGGTGAAGCCGATCTCACGGGCGACCTCGCCGACGAGGGACTCGTGGTCGGGGAAGGTGTAGGCGTGCATCAGGCAGACTGCTATGCTCCTGATCCCGCTGTCGTAGATCTCCTGGAGCTTGGACCGGATGGTCTCCTTCTCTGGCCGCTGAAGAATCCGGACGGCTTCGCCTGATAGACCCATGACGAGGTCGGCGTCCTTGGCTTCGGCGGTCCCGGCCTTCACGTCCACCTTTGTGAGATGGCGTTCTGGATCCTCGGCGTAGTCTTCGAGTGTGACGCGCTCATCCATTTCCACAACGGTTGAGTACAGCACTTCGGGCTTGCGGATGGCCAGGTCGAAGATCTTGGGCCGCGACTGGTTGCCGATGACGAGACAATCTTTGAAGCCCTTGGTGACCACCATGGCGATCTTCTCACCCTTTCTTTCCAGGAGGGCGTTGGTGGCAACTGTTGTGCCCATGCGGATGGAATCGATCTTGGCGGTATCTAATGGCTGCCCCCGAGGGATCTCCTTCTCGAGGAAGTGGGACATGATGCGCCGGATACCCTCGAGGGGAGCATCATCGTAGTTGGCTGGGTCGACGGAGAGAAGCTTGATGACAATGTCCTCGCCATTGTAGTTGCCGACGCAGTCTGTGAAGGTGCCGCCTCTGTCAATGGCGATGCGTATGCCGCGGTCTTTTTGTGAGGAGCCCATGATGATGACGTCTTTGTTGTGTATTTGATGAAGAGAGGGCTTATGTGATGTGATAGGTAGTTAAGCTGAAGTGAGTGATGGGTCTCCTTTCTCTTCAACACCGGTTTCCGTCTCTCTCTTTATACTCGGAGTATTTCGATCTCACACAATTACTGAGAAGAAGAACCTGAGAAATAGTGAGTCAATGTCCACCGTTGGTGTAGTGTAAAGAGAGGGTGAGTAGAGGTAGGTAGGTCGTCGAAGTCGTGATCGTCATCAAGTCCAAGAGCAAAAGAGAAGTGAAAAGAGGCAATTGGATGTTAAGGTCGGGTAGACATGGGACTTACTGCACGAGTTCCAACATGCATCATCCAATCAGCGCTAGCTGCCCTGTAATACAGGAGAGACAAGTGCTTACAGAGCTGTAGGAAAGAGCACTTTCTGGCGCTGTGTAGGCTGACAGGTACTTGCCTCTTTGAAGGTTAGTGAAGATGTTTGGGGGTCCCCAAAAAGGAATGCACCCCGGAGCTGTATCGGCCTCTCGGAGACGGCGGCGTGGGCGGGCAACGGCACACAACCCCACATTTATCATGACTTACCCCGCAGCATCGACAACGTCCTTGCTCGTCCTCCCCTTTACAACCAATCTGCCGGAGATTTACGGAACGGCTTTGTCGTTGTCCCTAGACTCGGTCGGCACTTGAGGCTCCTTTTCTACTACACTGAGTCAGAAAACAGAAAGCACAACAATGTCAGCGCTACTATACAGATTGTGGACATCGTCGTCGTCGATCATGGATCTCAAATCAGGCACCCAGTGAGATAACCTCATCTAGTATCACAAATATTTCAGCCAAGGCTCGCAGGGCAGACCGGAGCCTCTTCACATCCGAAACCATGCATCCTTTTCTATATACTATCATGACGTTTATTCTCTATACCTTACCTTACATAGGCCATCCATGCTCCCTATCAACCGGGCACCGTTGTGGCGTGAACCATTGTGAACCATTATAGACATCCAGGAAAAGCCATTATCATAATTGGCCAATGACATCAAAAAGGTAACTAAACGATACCTTTTTACCTATACCAGACAAGACCAGACCAGACCAAGAAAGAAAACACCGAGATAAGCATAGCGGCGGCCGCTCTATAGTCGAATGGGACCCGACACAAGAGTCATCGGACATGAACCCACCAAAACAAACACCAACACTATGCAACAATGCAAACATGAACCATGCCATACACACCATCTACCCTGAGCCTTTCCAAGTCATGTCCTTCCCGACCTTCAACCCATCTCGAGCCATCTCGGGCCGAAATGAAGCCTAACCTAACCTAACCTAACCTTCCATCCCAACATCAGTCATCCCCACGCTTCCCATCCCAGCCGTCATCGGGTTCTGCGGCGGCGGAGGCATCGAAGGCATAGGCGGCGGTACATTGACACTCCCCTGCAACAAACTCTGCAATTCCCACGGGTTCAGGGTACTCCTCCTCCGACTGGCCGTTCTGCTCGTCCTCATCTTCTCCCTCTTGCGCTTCTGCACATGCAACTTTTCCATTCCCATGTCGTAGTCATGGTTTGTTGTTTGTGGCCCGGCAAGCTCATCCGCTTCTTCGTCTTCTTGTTCAAAGTCAAAGAGCTCCTCTTCCCGGGCCGCTCTGCTCGCTGTTTTGGGGGTCTTGGATTGTCTGCCGGGTGTGGCGGGGCGGCGGCGAGAGATTTTTAATTCATTTTCATCGTCGTTGTCCATGTCCATCGGTGTGGCACGGCCGTTGTTGTTTTGGTTCTCGTCGGGCTGGGTCTGGTTCTGACTTTGGTTCTTGCTGTGTCTCTGGCTGGCTCCATTGGTGGACCGCTGAGACTGAGAAGGACCCACGCTCTCCTGCTCGGATCTCTTCATGGCCTTCAGCTTAGCCCTCACCCGAGCTGCGTCAGCTTCTCGTTCAGAAGCGGCTAGCTTTGCGGCGATGGTGGCCACGTTGAGTGGACTCTGCTGTGCCTGGAGGGCAGCGGTGTTAACAAGCCCTGTCCTAGGGAGCGGGAGACGGGAGTTGCCAGTTCTCTTGGGCGAGCGGTTGGGGTTGATGGGTGATTGGGAAATGGCACCGCCGCCGCTGCGGTTCGCGCTATCGGTTGAGCTGCCATTCTCGCTGTTGTTGTTGGTGGCCAGGCCCTTGGTGAGCCTGGGTGATGGTGCGAGCTTGGGTGATTGGGCGAGGAGTGTAGCTTCCCTTGTCTTGGTAAGCCCGTTGGAGGTGGTAGGTCGAGAGTTACTGCCTACTATTTCCCTTTCCCTCCCGGGAGTGCCAGGGCCGCTGGCGGTGGAATAGGCGGTCTTCTCCGAGTTGGTTCTCCTGTGACCGGGTACAAACTTGGGGCCCGTCTTGCTCTCGGTCTCCTTGCCTTTACCGGATGATGTGAGTGATCGGGTTTGGCTCTTGCCTCTTGGTCCTGGTGCCGCAGTAGTGGTTGCAGCGCGTGTGATAGGTGGTCTAGACCTATCGGCGGCCGGTTTCCTCGCGGTTGCTGTCGTCTGCGCTCTCCCGGCTCCACCAGATGTAGCGGCTTCCTCACGGGCCCGAGACCTGGTCACAGGGGCAGCAGCTTCACGATCAAACTCAGCAGTACGTGTACGTGAACGTGTCCTCGCCGTGGGCCCTGTCGCCGACGTAGTCGTTGTGGTTGTCCCTGGCCGCTTTCTCGCTGCAGATGCAGCTTTGGGTCCTGATGTCTCTGGCTTAACCAGCTTGATACTACCGGCAGATGTAGTAGATGGTGCAGTAGATGGGCGTGCCTGTTCCCTCTCCGACACTGAAGCATTTCCCTCTTGTTGTCGCACTGGTCGGATGGACTTTTTCGTCTGCTGCAGCTTGTCGGCGTGTGGTGGTACAGGAGGGCCTACTTCCGCTGCTCGCAGGTTGTTAGTGTAGTCTCCGCCTCCTCGACGAAAGTTAGGCTGTCCAAACCCGCCCCTATTGCCAGCTGCAGGCGAGTCCTTGAGCGGGCTGAGTTGTGGTGGTACGCGAGGCGGAGGGGAGCTCAGCATCAATGAGTGCCCAAGAACCTCCACGTTAGGCTCCTCATCGTCATCCAGGTCGTCCAGGTCGAGATCGTCGTCCTCGAAAATACTCGATTGCTCGCTGTCTTCGTCCATGGGGTCGTCTGGCACACCTCCCGGTGGTGCCGGCACAAGATGAAGCGAACTGTCCCGGGATCTTGGGCCAGAGGCATTTGTGGAGGCAGCGGCGGCAGCGGCGGCATCGGCCTTCTCCTTTTCGAGATACCGCTCGACTTCCTCGCGATCCGCCTGCTCTTCAGCATCCTCCTCTTCCCTAACACTGGGCATCTCCAACTGCAACCCATGCGCCGTCTCCGCCACGTTCTTAACCTTGACTGGGCTAAGTCGCAAACCCATCTTGAGCTCCTCCACGTTAACGGGCCTACCGCTGACCTGCATCCTATTGCGCCAGCCATCAATCAGATGGACAGCCTCCTTCCATCGGCTCTCCATCTTGACCCAGCCGTCGCGCAACCTGTGAATCTCGTCCTCCCGCACCACCACCTCCTCGATGGGCACAAACGACGGGTTCGTCAAGATAATGCGCATATGCTCCAGCACGTTTTCCAAGTCGCGCTGCAGTTCGTTACAGCTAGTAGGAATCACCAGCGCGTGCTTTTCCCCTTCATCACCCTCCTCCTTCCTTGTCTCAACACCATCCATGTTGATATCCCCGCCCTCATCTTTCTGCTGCTGCTGTTGTTGTTGCGCAACAACATTAGCAACCACATCCCACCCACTCATCTCCTGCATCCTCCTCACCGTCCTCCTCACAAGCCCAAGCAGCACCTCATTCTCCTCGCTGAGACCCTTGGCCAGCTCCGCAAGGAACCCGTTCGTCTCCATCCGGAGATCGTACCCTTCTGACCCAGTCATCCCCTGCGGAACTCCCATCTTGCCGCCCGCCTCAGCATTATACTCGTCGCCCGCTTGGACCACAATGCTCATTACCCCACCACCAAGCCCTAGTCCACCGTCCCTAGAAGCACCCCTGGTATGTCCAGTCCCCCTCGTCCTCCCCGCATCCGCCACCGCCTTTTTGAGCCCCTCAATCATGCGATCCCTTTTGCGAATCTCATTCGCGCACGCATTTCTCGTTTGCTGTACCAGGCTCTTTTGGCGGGCAGCCTCCTCTTTTAGTTTGGTAACGGTCTGCTCGGCGGCCTTTAATTGGGCGCGGGCGTGCGCGGCTTCCTGCTCGGCGAGAGCGGTTTTTCGAGAGGAGTCGGTTAGCTTTTCGGACAGCCGGACAATGTCGGTGGTCTGGCGGAGGGACTCGGCGCGCAGGGAGCGAATGGTTTGGGAGAGGGATTCGCGGGTTTCGGCGTCGCGCTGTGGCTCAGAATATGTTTGTTAGTCGAACTGGAAGGTGAGAGCTTAAATGACCGGGGAGGCAAGAGAGAAAAACGCACGTCGCGCCGGAGGATCAGGTCGTTAACTACCCCCATTATACGACCCATGGTGTGCGCCAGCTCGTCATCGTTGTCGCCTGGGTAGGCAAAGTCAATGGTGTCGCCATCGCGCAGGAGGCCGCGGGAGAGCAGCTGGTTGTTGATGTATATAGATGCCGTACGGAGGTTGTCTGAGATTATCATGTTGGGCGGTTGTTGGCGGTGTGGAAGGCGGTTACATTCGTGATCATTCCGAACTCGGGACTCGGCGGTTTGGTGGTCGGTCGGTGGTGGTTTAACGATAGTATTGGCGTTGGGTGCCCGTGTATTCGGTTCGACCTCGTACGGATACCTAGTTCTCTCGTAGAAAGACGGATCGGTCGGTTGGACCTTCCGGTTAACGAACACTGTCGCGGCACTCCCGATGCGAAGTCGAAGTCGAAGTCGAAGTGGAAGGCGCGGTGCAGTGGGTTGGCGTCAGGCCGTCAAGGTTCGGAAGGAAGGAGCACAGCGACAGGAACGACAATGCAGCAGAAAACCGTTAGGGGTCAATTGTCAACCTGCCAAGGGGTCCCAACGCGCTACATTACACACACACACACACACACACAGTACACGGTAGGTATGTATAAAGGTCCCTTGGTCGGCAAGCTTGTGGGCGGGCGGATGGGTGGCGTTAAGGCGTCAATCGTTGGCTGGAAATGGAAATCGATCAATTGGTTTGTCTCAATTGGCGAGAGTGGCACTGCTGCAGTGTCAGTGCTGCCAGAAAGAGGAATCTTCGAATCAAGAACGGATCCGGCATCACGCATGTTTATTTGGTGGGGCCCGTTGCTGTAGCAATCCCTCCCCCGGCCCGGATCACCCAACTGGCGGGCGGCGCGGGCCACTGCAAAACGGGACAACTGGCATGGCTCCCCACAGCTTGGCCGCAACAGCGTTGGACTGTTTGGAGAAAGCTGAACCACAGCGGCACCGCTACGTAGCTCATCACACCGCATCGTCACAAACACCGCCGGCGACACCACGAAACGGAGCCGAAGAAGCCAGGAGACTGGAGAACAAGCTGAACGGCCAAGTAAACATACAGGCTATAACCCTAACCCTAGCTCGTGTACAGCGTCTTCTGAATGGCTCTTTGACCCCTGATCTTTCTCCTCCTCCTCCTGTCCTTTTCTTTCTCCTCTGCCCTCCTTGGTGTGTTTGATGATCCGACACCTGCATTGGGCGGGGCTGCAGGCTTGTCAGCAGAAAACGATTGACGGATGATCCCATCTCCGCCTTCCACTCGACTCCGACAAGATGCAAAATTGCAAAAATGTTACAATCGCCAGCCTCGAAAATATGGGAATGGCTTTTCCAATCCTTTTTGAACTCCGTTGTCCCCTTTCCCGTCCTCTATGCCGTTGTACTGAACTTCCTCCCGGCCATTTTCACACAAGTGTTGTTGTTGTTATTGTTGTGGTTTTTGCTGTGTGGCCATTGGTGAAGGCCAGCCGGTCGCACCAGGTCGTCCGCCTCGGTCGTGATTATTGGGTATATGATCTTCGAGGTTATATCACGATAACGGCCGCGAAAGTGGAATGAAGGATGACATCGGATTGATGCCAAGAACGTCTTTCTGGTCTCAGATGTTAGCACAACCTCTGTGTACGACAACAGATCCGTAACATGGGCGGGAACCGGTATGCAAGACATATTTCAGAGAGTTTGAGAAGATTGTTATTGACGCGGTGTTTGTCAGCGTTTGTGATTCCAACCAAGGGAATTGGACCCAGAGCTGAGAAAAACATCTGATGGCCCCGCGGCCGTCATCATGAAATCTTGACATGGAAAGCAAAAAGTACGAATGTTGGGAATACACACCTAACGGTAGGTTTGGAGAGACTTGCATGTTCTTGCGCAAGTTCACACAGGGCCCTCTCTCCAGCAGGCCTGTCGTGTAGTGTCGTGCTACCAGAGACAATCGCTCGGTCGCAAAACTTTGACGTGCCCAACAAGTGTAGCTGCGAACTGCCCAAGGCGTCGCAGAGCGAACAAATTTTGTTTGGTCGCTAAATTCCCGCTCACGCCTCGGGAACGAACTTGCCGCGCTTCTGGCGCATGGCATCCAACTTCACTCTGTCCTCCTCGAACCGCTTCACCAGCTCCTCCTGCTCGAGCTTCTTGCGCTCTCTCATCTGGAACCTGTAGAAGTCCGTCATTTCCTGCTTCTTCTTCTCCGCCTTGTCCATCATCTTCTTCTTGGCTTCCTCGGCCTCGTTCCTGGTGGCCGGCGCGGTTCTTCCACCGCGTGTTACCGTGACGAAACCGTCCTCGTCCGGCTCGTTGCGCAGCCTCTTGGCAATCTCGGCCGCCTCCCTCTCTCTCCTAGCAAACATTGTCGAGAATGCGTCCACGGCGGCTTGTAGCTGGTCGCGGTCGGGGTAGGAAAGCTGGTTGTGCGCCTTGAGCCAGATGGAGCCGAGTTGTGGTACGCGCTCAGCCACCACATTTCCTTCGCCGCCCCACTTGGGATATTTCTTGGATTTGTGAACCTTCGCGATCGCCTTCAGAACCTGCTGAACGCTCTTCTCGTCGGCGAGCAGGACGACGGCGGTGCTGCCGCTCTTTCGTAGTGGTCGGGTCCATGTGCTGGGGAGTCGGGCAGCAGCTTCTTCCTCGGCTCTCTCGGCAGCCTCCTGGTCCTCGCGTTTCCTCTTCTTGCCATGGGCAGCTAGTAATCGTACCGCCTGTGCGGGCGCGGCGTCTAGGGCGGCCGCAACGGCCTCAGCCTCCTTCCTTTCTTCCTCGAACGAAGCGCTTTCGAAGCGACCCGCGCCGACTAGCGATGCGAAAAGAGCGCGCAGGTGAAGCTCTGTGCTGTCGACGGGGACATTTGCAAGGAAAAGACTCCTGGAATCGTTGGCTGTGGGGATCTTGGGGGCGTTTCGTCGGACGTAAAGGTAGTGGACGACATTTCGAGGGAATGACGGAACGGGAGGGATTGAGATCGGGAGGACGCTGAATTCGCCTATTGTTGGTGGGGATGGCGCCATCTTGTCGGTATTGAGTCACAAACGTGCTGTTGACGATTGTGGTAATGTCGAGTTTTGGTTGAAGATTGGAAACTGAAGAATGGAGGAGATTGAAGCATTTGCTCTGCAAGCCGTCGCCATCTCCAGGAAACTTTTGCGCCCCACTTCTCAGCCTTGTAAAATCACTTCGGCCGGTGATTGGTTCAAAGTGGTATCGTAGCTTACAAGCACGACGTACCTTCTATGCCTGTGCGCACCCTTGAGCTGCGCAGCTCACCACATCAGACGGGACTTCCGCACAACGATTTTCGGGTACAGCTGACTTTGTCGTCTCAAGACCTCGCAAAAATTGGATTCCGGGCTTCTGAGGGAATACAGACTCGAAAGCCACGTCCGTGCTCTTTTACGTTCTCCCAACGGTATATACCACTATCTCGCCAGCTGTTGCACAGATTCAGTCTTCTCATTCTCACGCTTTGGTTGTCAGGGCTCGCACCAAAAGGTGACAAACTCGATCTGTACGTCAACCCTGTCCCCTCTATCTTGTTCTTTTGCCTCCCTGTCATCACGTTTTCCCGGCTCATTGGCAGCTTTCTCAATCCATCCAACTGGTTAACTGAGCTAAAATCACTGACAGTCCCAGATAGTCGGATAAACCTGACGACTTCGGTCACGACCGTATGATTCCTCTTCAGAGGAAGATGAGCCTCCCAAGATTATGGAGCTCCGTGGAGAGAAGAACTTTGGGCTTTGGGAATGTTATGCCATAAATATCCTCAAGATGCAAGGCCTTGAGGGGTTCATAAGGGGTACGGAGACACCCCCCATTGGTGATACGTCCAAAGATAAGGAAAGGCTCAGGGACTTCGAACACAGAAAGTTCCGCGCCTAGAGCCTTCTTTACGAAAATGTCCAACGTGCGTTGTCCCGGAGGGATATTTTTCTTCCCGGGCACCTCCTACACGCTCAAGGATATGACTACGATGCGAAAGTACTATGGGACGACCTGCAACGATGGTATACCGACATCGGCCCAGACAGAAAACTGGCCTTTCTAAGGGAGCTCACCACCATCAACTATCGTCAGTTCGAGGACCTCAATGATTTCATTGCTAGAGCTGAATGGCTTCAAAGGCGTCTTACGCGGCTCGACATACCAGTATCGGATGAGATGATGAAGACGCGTCTGTGGGGCGGTCTGGCTGAACACCCCAGCGGCACTTTGAGCTCTCTCAAAATGGTGAATTACGACAATGGGACTCTCAAACAATGATCTCCGATATTAGAATGTATAGGGGCATGATTAAAGAGCAAGCAAAGAGACATGAACAAGAGCAACAAGAGATCAACAGCCGGGCTTCCGGACATCGTGGTAGTTCTGGGCGACGCGGTGGTTCTAGGCGTCGTGGTCGTCCCCATCGTGGGGGCCCCTAGGGTCAAACGGGGAGAGCACTTTTTGGATCGTGTCTCCTCGGCGGCTCTCATTTTCTCTACGTCTCTAGAAAAAGAATATATGGCATGTCTGGATTTCTGGGACACGGGAGTGGGGAGGAAAGTATTCATACCTAAATATGATGAGAACATGATGGCAGGGAAACAACTGAAATTCGAAGTGGGATGCGCCTTTCAAAAGTAACACAACCCACTGAATTCCCATCATCACTAATTTGTTCAATATTCCTGTGGTAGGACCGACCGACACTACCAACATCCAAACCCAGTATGTTACTCACACCCCGGGGCAACTTCTCTATCCTCCCTTCTTCAATCTTTCAACAATTAGTTAGGTTATTCCTAACATTATTGGTCCTGCTTTACTTGTCTTTTTTTTTCATGCTGGAAATATTTCACTAACACTGAAGCCTTCTTCGCGTTTGTTTGTGAACGTTCGCGACCCACTTTTCAACCAATCAATCACGTAGGGTCATTGGTTAGAATCGGTTTGTAACATACGCAGTAAGGTACCGTTTGATCGAAAACACGAACTCTTCACTGCAACCAGCCATCTCGTCGCTAGTCTGTCATACAATTCTTAAGAGTATCTCCATGCCACTTTATCGGAGTTATATTCGCCAATGTTCTTCTTCAAATCAGATATCGCCCTCTCTGAAATCAAGAGAAAAGCCCAGCACAAAGTCGATCCAAATGCGACGTGAAGTGTTCTGGTTTTTATAGCCACACCCTCGCCACCAGGGAATTTGTTTGTTTCTACTCCGAGCGGCCCTATATAGGCTGGCTGTCCTTTCTGACCTTGACTGGTTTTCTTCTTTTTTCGTAGACACAAATTCGCGACCAAACAACTTCTTCGTATTGCAACCTGACCACCTTGTGCCATTCATATGGTCGCTATGGCCGCCGCTTCCACAGACAGGTGAACAATTTTCTCACCCAATAAACATACCATCCCCCTGGTTTTGTCCCTCTTCACCAACCATTTTTTTTTTTTTTTTCGGGTTTTCCTTCTAGCTCTGGTCATTCAACATTTAAACTTTGCAACATCCAACTGACACTTCGACTATATCTTTCTCGAGCGCGCCTGATCAAAAAGCTCCAGAGCCGGCCATCGACGCCGTTCATCCCAGATGGCCGACCTGGAGTCCTGGACTGCCAACCCAGATGCTGACCTAAAGCTTGAAGAACTCAAAGGAGGGGAAAACTTTGAGAAATGGAACCGCTACGTACTGGATGTTTTCAGAATATTCGGTCTTGAGGGTTTTGTCAAGGGGACGGAAACACCTCCTCCTAGTGATACTGACGAGGATAAATCGGACCTTCGGGTTTTCCATGAGAGGAGACTGTGCGCCTTCCGAGTCATCCACAACAGCAGCAGGGCTATTCATTCGAGACTTCGAGGCTACAGCTTTGACTGCATCCGTTTACCGGATGACCTTGATCCAAAAGCACTGTGGGATGCTATTCATCGCTGGGACCTCGCTGTCCACCTCGGCACATATGGCAAAATCAAACTGTTGGAGCTCAGCCACATACATCACTCGCAATTTGGTAACCTCAACGAATATATGCGCCGTGCTGATTGGCTTCGCCGGCGCCTTCAGCGTGCCGGTGTGCCGATTGCTGACGAGCTGATGAAGACATATGTTCTCAGCGGGTTGACCAGCTATCCCGACGAAACCTGGGCAATGTTAGTGGCCATCAAGGCTGAGGACTGGACTTACTTCGATTTGCGGAAAATACCGACAAACAGGTGTCCTTGGGAATTTTCAGGGAGCATCGAGCCGAGGCAAACAAGCCACAACATATCAAGAGCCACCACATTGCCCGCGGAGGTCATTCAAGACATGCTCGCGGGGAGGGTGCCAGAAAACGCGCCTCTCCTTACTAAGGAGACCGCTGGTTTCGTGCAGAGTGAATTGAGCTCTTGGCCGTGCCTCCTCGGCAACCACTCATCTTTTAGCTGGGGTATGCAACGACGTCTATCTACAACTCCATGAGGTCGTACCATTTTGCAACTGCGCAAAGTCTCTCGATACCTTGTCTACCTGTATGCCCACCTATTCTCATGTCTTGGATGAACACGGCGCGGCCATCGGAGAAACATGAAGACAGATCAAAAGCTCTGCAATAATTCGAACCGTTGGGTACGACATATTCGCACTACTTGCCCAACACTATGACGGCTATCACATCTTTTTAGCGACTAAATACACATCTGAGTGTCCGAATCTTACCATCCTCACACTTGCTTGGGCTGTGTTTCTAGACCAACGCACGGCCTTCCTGAACCACATCTGCTTGGTTCACCCAACTATCTCCCTCCATACAGGCTTTTCCCGGTGGCAGAAAACCCACCATGGATTAACTACTTCCATTCCGAGCACCTCGGTAAGTTATATGGGACTCGCTTTTCTTCCCCTGAGTCATGACATAGTTTTTCTTCCAAGTCTGATACTGCCGGCCTTGTCGCCCCTCCAAGACAGTTCACTTCCATCGCAATCCTATCGTCTTGGTCATCATGGCTTCTTTAAGGACAGCCGATATGGATGATGATTCGGCCCCAAGTTAAAGGTGACAAGTTATTTCCATTGCGCAGATTTTTTCATAGGTCGCCTCTTGAACGCTCCCGCCCGGATACTTTAACCCCCAAACTTGTTCCGTGCGGTATGTTAGGACCATCTTTGAAGACATCTCTGACAAACTTTTGGATTAGTTATTATCTGAATCTTTGGGGGCGTCGTGACGAAACGGCGGAAGAGCTATGGGCTGAAATGACGAGACTGTGGCCAGCCGATTTCAACATTCCGAATCTGCAAAATCACGAAAATCATTATCAATGGTTCAGGTACACCCGCGGTAAACTCGAAGTACTCAACCTCTGGGGCTTCATCGAGGGCACTGAGCGCCTTCCTCAATTCGATGGTCCCATCGATGAACAAATTCATCACCGCTTCTCCCAAAGACTGTATCGCGCCTATATGATCATCCATGATAGCGTCAAGCCTATATTGCCCGAGCTCAGGATGAAGGGTTTTTCGTCAAAGAAAATGGCCAGGACCCCCAAGCCCTATGGGAAGCCGTTGCACGCTGGAACCTCGAAATCCCCTACTTTAAAAAAAGCAGGTTGCTGAGGGAGTTCAGTAACATTGACCGTGATGAATTCGACAGCCTGGACGCGTACTCGCTAAAGGCTTCCTGGTATAACCACCGCCTCAACGAACTCAGCATCGCACTTCCTGAAGAGGTCCAGATGGCATTTGTTATTCAAGGCCTACGGAATCACCATTTGGAGTGGGCTATAGCCATGTCCCTGCGCATCGAGGATGGCAAACACACCTTCCGCACACACCTTACCGAAGTTCTTGGGTTGAAGGACCATGAAACGAGACTGAAGGAGATCCATGGGAAGAGTACCACCGACGCCACCTTGCGGCGCAACGACAACAACAGCGACCAGAAGAGCCGTCAAAACAAGAAAAGGTGTCGGAACACCCAAGGCCGTCGGCAGCAACATAACGGCATGACCAAACAGCACTCTACTCGTCATTAAGAGAACCAGCGGCTGGGGAAAGCTATATGGTCATACCCCCACTCGATCATGCTTCTACGCCCATTCTTCACCCAAGAGGTTCACCCTCGGTGATCTTCCCTCGTCACTTCTGCATTTGTGCGAGGCGGTGAACCCTTTCTTTCTTTCAAATTTTCACTTGTGTATTCAAGCCAGGTGGATAGGTAGTCCTTCATCACTTGCATATTTACGCCAGGTGGTAAGGTTGCCCTACACTCACTCACGAGGCGCATTTGGCCTCTAGTGAACCAAAAACCCCCAAAAAATTGTCTTAGTCACTTTTTTCTCTTCTTGAACTTCATCTGAAGTTTCACCCACCACACACAGATGATACATCTTCATTGCTTGCGCTCTTCCGAGTGAGAGTATGCCAGGTATGAGAGTTGTTCATCACCCATCACTCGATCTTTTCCAAGATCTCTTCCCACCACCACGCACTTCATTTTTGAAGATTCGCTTCGCTTTCCTGTGAAGTCCACAACCCACTCTTCTACCTGCCCACTTGAGGTGATAAGAGTTTATTGAGCCTTAGGGAACTTGACGACTTGTGAACGCTCTCCTCCCTCCATGATACAAAATTATCAACACTTCGCTTTGCGAAGTCCATCCCTCCTGTTGGTATAACTTTACCATCGCTTCACTTGGATAGTCTCGCTCATGTTGGTATCTCGTTTTCACCTCGTGGGTCCCCTTCCGGAGGACAAGGACAAGGGGGGGTGTTATTGACCCAGGAAGGATGGAAAATGTCAGGATGGAAAGTTGGGATCAAAGTCCAGTGTTCGGGGAGCAGGGACTCATTTCCGGGCCGGCGACCTCTTCGTCGAGGTGCTTGAGATGAAATCTTCGCAAATGGTACATCTGGTTCCCCCATCGCGTGTAGTTCATTCGAGTGCATACCGTTGAAAATCTTCGTCTGCCCACCTTGTGATGAAAACGCAGCTGTACGACTCCTATACTCACTTTCCGCTACCCTCATATCATTGACATAGTGCACTACCCATTCATGACTACAGGTCAGATTTCTTAGGCGTTATTCCACGCTGTTGGTGTCACTTACGCAATCATCCGAACTTACTCTGCCGATCTGCGAGTGTTTGTAAGGCAGTCACGACAAAACGAAACGCCCCTTCCTTCCCTGTCAGAGACGAACACCACCGCCAGAGTGTGGGTCAATAAGACCACCAATCTTTGACTTCGGATGAAACTGAAGCATTCAGCGTCATCAATCAAATCTTATTGTGGAGGCACGACGATAGAGCTCCCTCCGCCTGGTCGCCAGTTTCGAACCATGGGCAGGCAACCTCCTTCCCTTCCTTCCTTCCTTCCTTAAAAACCCCCGCGCTCAACTTCTTGCCTTCAAACTTCGAACTTCTTCCAGAAATCTTTCTCCCACAACAACAAAACAACACCAACCATCTCTCGGACTCTTGTCTCACGTCTACCCAGATTGTTGAACGACCCTTCCATCAATCTGACGACAACGCCTACAGACAGTCCTACTCATCTACCTTAGGTTTTCTTTCTATCAAGTCATTCTCACCTTCCAGCTCACCATTCAATTTTCTCAACCCGTAGTCCGATATCACCCACTTGGCCAACTTACAAATGGCGTCTAGAAACCCCAACGCAGATTTCCCTGCGTTCCCTCAACTCCCCAAAATCCCTACCCTGAGCGGCGAGCAGGACTTCGAGGCTTGGCATGATGTGCTCCTTCTTCAGCTGAGCTACTTTGATCTCCACAACATCATCACCGGTGACGAGCAGGCTCCTCCCAGTACCGCCTCAAGAGACGACCACGAACGCTTCAATAGGAAGAAGGTCCTTGCCTACACAATGCTCTCAAACAGCATTCAGCCCATCATCACCAAGATCCAAGCCCTCGGCTACCATGGGATGCATTCTTTGGACCCGCGCAGCCTCTACCACGCTGTGCTCAAGTGGGACATCGATATCTCCGCTGAGTACAAATTCCGACTTGTCAAGGAGCTCACCGACATCGATCACTCTCAATTTACCAACCTTCACGCATTCTTGGACAGAGCTCTTTGGCTCCGCCGTCGTCTCAAGCGTGCGGCCTTTGAGGTTTCAGACGAGCTCATGGGTCTATTGCTGCTGAAAGGTATCAGTTCCTACGACGATGCCTGGACAAAGATGGTGCTTCACGGCAAGACGACTGGGTCTCTGGTCGAGAAGGATATTGTTCCGCTGATCGCAAAAAAGGCAGCTGAGCAGGAGGCTATGAGCATTACTTCCACCATCGCCTGTAAAAAGCCTACCCAGGAAAAGGGCATCCAGGCCACCCTGGTGAATGTTACTGGGGAAAAGAGCACCCAGGCTACCTATACGAAGGCTCACCACGAAAATGGCACCCAGACCGAGTCGACTCCAAACCAGACCTGCAACGAGGCTTCTAACTGTAATACTCCCCGTCCTGATACCCCGGGCGGCAGGGTCTGGACTGGACCCGAGGATGATTTGCAGACCATCAAGCCCTTTGATCTGGCCACCTCTCCTGACGGCGCTTCACAGGATACTGCCAAGGTCGGAAGTCAGAGCATGACCACGGACGACACCTTCAACAATGACGATGCGCCCACCACTGTTGATGCCAGGAACGGCACGCCCCAGAGCCAGTCCAATTCCGGCAGCAAGAGTCCCGATACTAACATCACCACCCCGTCGCTTACTCCCAGCGGTGCCCGGTTGAGCGAGAACAAAGCTGTCATCTCAATCGCTGCCAAAGATACCAACACAGGCTTGACCAAGCGCCCAAACCCCCAGCCTTTCCATCCTGTCACCAACACTAGCTATCAGTCCGAAGGCACCTCTGAGCAGCCTGATGGTTTCGGTTTTACCAGGCGCAGCACTCCACAAAACGATCCTGCCAGTCACGACAATCCTCAGAATGGTCCCGATTTCATGAATCCCCTTGCCACTATCCCGGGTCACATTCACAACCGCCAAAAGGACGTCCACGCTTGGCTCTTGGGTAACTCCTGGAGCAACAAGGATATCAATTCATGGAATACCACCGAGAGCCCTACTGTTCCGAGCTACCAGAACAGCACTATCACCCTGTCCCAGGCCGCTGCCTCTGTGCAGCAGCAGCAGCAGCAGCAGCAGTCTCCTCCATCCGTTGAAGATAGGTTCGGACCTGAAACTTTTGCTTGGAATTTGCGCGCGGCGAATTTAGGCCCGGATGGAAAGCCCAGATTGAGGATTAAGAAGCGTCCATTTGGAGCTTCTGACCCGCGCCATTGGTAATTGGCTTCTCTTTCCATGTAGTTGAGATGGTCAACACAAGGGTGATGGACAGGAAACATTGCATATTTTGATAGCTTTCATGATATTTGTCCTTGGAACTCGGGTAATTGGTCACGAAGCCTCTCTGTATACATGGGGAGTAGTTGGGGAAGGAACAAAGAAGTGAATACGGAGTCAGAAGTTGATACATCCGGTTGGTCTCCGATTTAAAGGGCGCGTTTCTTTTTCTCTCGTAGCGACAGCCATGGCTCGGATATGGCTGGGGACATACTGCATAGATATATGGTTTCCAAGCGCATATGGTATTTCGAGTCACTTTGATGATTGAACTTAAAGGTATTTCGGGCGCTTGGTAGATACAGTTTATACTCCCAACAGCTAGTCCAAGCAAATACCACATTGCCATTCTTCAATATGTAAAGCCGTGCGCCCCAGAACGGTGAAGACCATGTAAATCGTTTGGATTCTGTGCGTACCAGACTTATGATGTGACTCACATAAAGCAATTTGCGGTTTTGATGAACTTTCAACGATCTTTAATGATAATTTGGTTTCTCAGTCTAGTCTACCTCTAACGCTTGCTGAGAGAAAAATAACAGGATCCTCCTCTCTCTTCCCCATGTCATGCTCCGCCATCCCTTGGGGTTCTTCAAATCTCAATAACAATCCTCCCCACCCCCCTGCTAACACAAGCCAACATCGCACCCTCCTTCTCCTCCGCCGACAACGCTGTCCCCCTATGTTCCACCCTCCCGCCCCTAAGATTAACCTTGCAAGTCCCGCAGTTTCCCACGCAACAACTCCCCTCCACCTCTTCATCTCCAAACTCCTTTTGCAGAACCTCCAACAACGTCTCCTCCCTTGCACCTGCAAGGTCTTTCCTTCCTTGTTGGCAACCACCACCTCAAACGGATCTCCACTGATATCCGCCTCAAACGCCTCAAAGTGCACCTCCCCCTCCGGAACGCCATATTTCCTGACCTGCTCCGCGGCGTCCAGCATCAGCGCGCGGGGACCGCAAAAGTAAATCATTGTGTTCCACGGTATACTCTTCACGATGCCCCCAACATTCAATCGTTCGCCCTTGGTCTTGTCGTAAACTTTCACCGCACACGTCCCGTCGTTCAACCTCTCCAGCCGCTCCCGAAACGGAACATCCTCGCCGGACCGCACGGCATAGTGCAGCTCGCACGAGACATGGATGCTCTGGAAGTGTTCGAGACTTGGCAAAAACGCAGTGATGCCCACGCCGCCCGCCACAAAAATGTGGTGCGAGATCCCGCCCGCGCTGGCCCCGTTCGGCACCGCGTTCGTGAAGTTGGCGGATACCTGCAGGACGTGGCCCTCGAAGACCTGCGAGTGGAAAAAGGCGGAGCCGCCGCGGGACTGAGGCTCGAGCGCGATGCCGAGCTGGAAGCGGTTGACCGAGGCTTGTTCGTCGGGGGCGCTGACGATGGAGTAAGCGCGCACCAACCCGTTACCCAGTTTAACGCGCGCGTGCGCGCCGGGTTTAAGGAGGATGGACTTTTCGTCGCCGGGAACGGGGACGATGGGGTCGACGGCTTCGAGGACGAAAGAGGCGATCCGAGGTGTTTCCTGTCGCCGCTGGACAACGCGGAAGGCGCGCCATCGAGCGGCTTTCTCGGCTCTCTTCTTCTTGGCTGCGGAGCGGGCCACGCGGGCTTTGAAGGCGTCTCGGCTTTCTGCGCCGAGCTCTTCGATTTGCGCCAGCTCGGCGTTCATGGCCTCGTCGTCTTGATTGCGGTGGAGATACTCTTGGATTCTCTCCATGGTCCATTGCGGGTGCGGGCGAGAGACGAGGCGGATTTCGTCGCCGGCTTGGACGAGGCCCGGACGCAGGACGCGGTAGTACCAGCCTGTTCGCGAGTGCTTCCAGGTTAAGGGGGCAAACTTCTTCAGCTGGAAGCGGTGGTTGAGTTTGAAGCACGGCTGCCGGGGGAGAGAGACTTGGAGAAGGAGGCAAGTTTCTGGGTTGAAGGTTAGGGCGGACGGGCTGCCGATGATCATTGTGTCGCCGATGCAGACGTTGCGCTCGTTCATGTGGGCTGTGACGAGGTTTTCGCCGAAGCCGCCGGGGACAAAGGCCGAGGCGGAGGAGGGGTGCTCAGAGGCCCAGGTTGGGTAGTGGGAGGAGCAGTCTGTGTGAACAGTCAGTATGAGAACAAGAACCCGAGGGGAGAGGGATTGACCGAGGCTGATACTGAGCATGGGGAGGGGGACTGGAGGGACTCACAGCCGTGAACGGCCTTGTCGATGCCGCCGTGGAAGGTCGGGTCGCTCTCATCGCCTTCCAGACCAGCGCGGCCGACGTATACAGGGCCGTCAATGATGGTCTTGTCGATTCCGCTCATGACCTCGAGACCCTTCATTTTCTTCATCTTGCTTGCGCGCACCTCGAGGATGGTGTCACGCTCGAAGGGCGCATAGAGGTCTACCTTGGGTTGTGGTTCCGCCATGATGAAGGATGATTTTTGCAAGCGGGATTGGTGAGTTGGTGACGGGAAGAAGCGTTGATATATAAATTCCCGAGAGCAGAATTGCCGTCTTGACCTAAAAATGGGAGGTCGCCGTGTGGATGTTCACCGAGTGACTGGTTGGCGGTTGGTTCCCGAGCAGCCAAGGTTTTGATCTTCCAGAGTTGCCACGCCACGCCCTTCGAGTGAAGAGTGTGGTACTAATACGCAACTAGATAATCCGATCACATCGGATTCTAAGAAAGTGAGGAGTGAATGATGACTCCCCTCTCACGCATGGTATTGCAAGGTCCACCAAGGTTACAATAAGCTCACACTAAAAAAAGTGTCCGGTGTTTGTTAAGCCGTCTCCAAAATAATCCCCAATTTGGATGGTGTGAGTGAGCTGATTGGTCAATCTCTTGTACCGTTGGGGAGGATTACTAAGATGGGAAACAGTGATGCCAATGGACATTGCGTCGATTCAGGTGAGGACCGCAAGCCGATTCATTTAAAAAGGTCGGATCCGAATATATGACCAGTTTTCCAGCCATATGCGATGATTTAATAGCATGGGTTTCTAGACCGATAATATCCAGGTTGACCTTGAATGGAGAAGGATGTGGTAATGTAGGTTCAACCGGACTCTATAGGGATGTTAGGGGAGTACAGCTTTTCTCTTCTACCCATTTCTGGTCTTGGCACTTAGTCGGGGCTCCTTTTGTCTTCGGAAACGAGGTTGCGCGAACTTCGACTCTTTAAACTGCTCGAGTCGCCGGCTTGAGTCGATTGTGAAGGTGAAGGCGAACTTTTCTAGGCGTTCTTCCCCGTCTATGCGGTAGATTGGGAGCAGGAAAACATTCTCTGTGAAAAAAAGAAACGAGAAGTGTGAAGAGGATATTGGTCAAATCACCAAAATATAGACCAACACCACAGAGCAATGGTTTTGGTGAACAACGTAGGGGATATAAAAAGAGAACGCTTCAATGTACCGTCTATACGTACCACCAAGAACCCAAACATAACGCCAGCCGATCTGAACCGAGCCTCGATCGGTATATGCAAAGTCTAAACACCCTGTAACCGACCATGTCTACTATCGTTCCCGACTATCGCCGGATATTGTTAAACCACATGCTCAAAGTGGGCCTCCAAAGGGGTCTTCCAACCCATTCCCATCGACCTTCCTCCTCTTCTTCTCTGGTGCGCCAGCTACCAGGTCGCCGCCAAAGAGAGCAGGATCTTTGCTCCCCTTGCTGGTAGCAGCGCGTTCCTCTGAATCCTCTCGTTTGAGTCCTTGCTCGCGGCGTTGGCGCTGGAGCTCAGACAGGTTCCAGCGGTCGGGGTCGCGGCACTTCGTCAGCTTCTTACGGACGGGCCGAATTTGGGATTTGAAGATTGATTCCTGTGAGCGGGATAATGCGTTAGCTTGGTACTGTGATGGCAGCGTAAGGGGAACAAAGAAGGAAAAGCCACTTACACTAGTCCAATGCGACTTCCTTTCCGGCAGTTCGTTAGACAGCATGTTCCTGCATGCCTCGATAGTGCCCATAACCTTATCTCGGATTCCCGTGCCGATAATGGCTGCACGCTCATCGTTAGTCATTTGCCCCTTGCCACCACCATCCTTTCGGGCTGTCCCCAAGTTTTCGGAACCAGGTAGTGGTGTCTGGGCAGGAGTGCTATCGTTGTTGGTAGTCGGTGGGACAAAGTGGAAAGTCTCCTGGATCAGGCGCTCAGCCAGTCCACGATCTGCAAGGGATAATGCTGCAAACATTATCTGCGACGGTGTGTAGTGGAAGTAGGCGTCGGTCATGAGAGGGCTGAAGAGTAGAATCCCGTGGGCGCGCTTTTCGGCTGCTATTATGCGTTGTTCCTGAATCAAGGTAGGAGTGTTAGGAATGACCAGAAGGAGCATGGTGAAAACGGTAACTTACGTCGATGTCCCCGTAGCTCCTCAACTCCATCATCGCCCCCATCAGCGCCCTAAACGGGTGTCTGACCTCAAAGTTGAACCTGTTTCCCTGACAAAGCAGGAATTCGCCAGCGAGGATATCCTGCTTCGTGTTGAACTTTTGTTGAAACTCAATAATCCGAGGAAACCTTCCCTCCGCCTTGCTTCCGACAAACAGCGCCACAAGGATCATCTCCTGTGGTGGGTACGTCATGATGCTATTCGTCAGGAAGAACCTCCTGAAAAAGACCGTAGCTGTCGCCCTGACTTCGTCTGGCACTCCAAGATGGTCCGCCGCGCGCAATAGTTCGGATACGTAAAAGGACACGAGCAAGGCCTCTTCTTCAGGCTTGAGGAAGTCGGGTAAGGTCGGTGCGCCGTTCTCGTTAGGGTTGGGCGTCCCATTTCCAGACGGGTCTGGCGTGTTCGCATGCGATGTATTGTTCGATGTTGGTGGATTCAAAGCTGATGCCAGCATGCGCTCGGCGATTCTTCGGCGGGCGAGGGCGTTGGTCTTCTCGCGCATGGCAGCGAGCTGAGCGGGCGAGAAGGACCATGCTTCGAACTGCGATGTCTCGCGGTATCGCGCATCTTCCGACGCCATGTTGAGCAGATATTAAGCCCCCAGGCGGGAGTTATTTCAGGAACAGTGGTTGCAAATCCAGAGCTGGGGCTGTCGGGGATAAGCTGGATAGTCGCGAGGCGGTCTCAAGGAGCGGATGGCAAAGAGCGGAGTACAAGTGCTATCCGGCGGATAACGTTTTAGGAGACGGCGCGGAGGTATTTCTGCGTGGTGTCAAGTACAATTGTCTTCGACCTTGGTGGTTATGCGACAAGAACAAAGGTGGTACGCGGAGAAAAGATAAAGTGTTTTGAGACGAGGGTGTTGAAGGCTCTAGGGATGGAAAGACCATGACGATGACGGGAGTTGGGCCCTCGACGTAGCACAGGGTGGATCCAGATATGTACCGGCAGGCACTGAGACTTTGGGGACCGTGCGTTGATGTGTCTTCATGGGCCATGTTTCATCGCATGTGCCACTTGCTCTCTTTCTTCTCACCATCGTCAAACAAATACGATGGCCCAAGTGTGTCTTAGGCTCGTTATAAAACTGATTCGAGCTTTCAGGTGCAGTTAGGTGCAGGGCCAATTATTTATACTCCCTGCACAGCCGTGCGCAAACTCTTTCCCGCTAAATGGTTTATATTCTTTTATACTTTTATACTTTACTACCAAATAACTAAAGACGATTCTTTCTTGTTGTTGCCTCGCTAGCTTACGAGCCCCGCTGGCTTTGAGAGCGCTGAGGAGACCTGGGGAGCAATGAGAAGACTTTAGGAGCAATGAGAGACTGGGAGCAATGAAAGACTGGAAGCAATGAGAGGTCGGGAGCAATAAGGCCTTGAAATCAATGAGGAGATGTTGGGAGCAATAGGAACAATGGAGAGATACTGGAAGAAGTGTAGTTATATACTTGTTTGCTGCAATGCCTTAACTGGCCTATAATAA